CCTGATATCTGGTTCATCCTGAATTCTGAGTCCAATTTCTCTGTATAGTTATTAAAATAGAAAAAAAATACTTGATGTAATGCTCTGAGTGTTGAAGGCAAATGTGACAAACAGAAAGAAAAGCTTTTTAGAAAAAAAAATAGGGGATTTTGTGCCACAATCTACCATAACAAAAGCTGAAGAACATCTTGGTTCACCCCAGAAAAGCAACTACCAACTTCTCCAAAATCTTAGAACCTTTGAAGAAACAAGTATTAGGAAATCTACATGAAGCAAAGATGTTTCTAAAGTCTGAGCCTAAAGTGTTTGGATAACAGTCAATATCAGTGGTTGGTCACTATGTATCAGGTAAAATTCTAAGCACTTTATGTAAATTAATTTCACCTTGGTTAGTCCTATGACTCATACTACGTGTGAGCTACCTGCCCAGATCTTACCAATTCAAAAGCTGGCATCAAACTCAACACACCAGGCAGAGCACATCACCTAAGGGTAAGGGAACTCCTTCATGCCCAGAACTTCATGCCACCTGCCCATAACTGCTCCATTTCTTCCTGTGCCAGAACAACCCATGTACCAACCGCAATTTGCTAGGATTATAGGTGTGTGACTATGATCAACCTTGGTTCTCTGTAAAAGTTAATTTTAACATTGAAAGCTATAACAATTCAAAGGAGGATACTCTTAGAGGAGGAACACATAGGCACAATACCTATGTGCCACTAATCATATAAAATAATATTTATCAAAATGAACTCTAGGAAATGGAAACAAGAGTTTTGTTGTTGTGGATGATGTTTTCTTTTTGTCTTGTTTGTTCAGTTATCTGTCTTTGGGAACATAAAGGGGAGGGGCACAAAAATGGTGTGACAAAGGGGCTGGGAAGGTGGCTCAGTGGTAGAGCGCTTGCCTTGCATGCATGAGGCCCTGGGTTCGATTCCTCAGCACCACATAAGCAAAAAGAAAAAAGCCGGAAGTGGCGCTGTGGCTCAAGTGGTAGAGCGCTAGCCTTGAGCTGAAGAGCTGAGGGACAGCGCCCAGGCCCAGAGTTCAGGCCCCATAACCGGACCAAAAAAAGAAAAGAAAAGAAAAGAAATGGTGTGACAAAGGATAAACAAAGACAGCAACATAGATACTATGTTGAAAATGAACGACTTGTGGGTGGGGATGGGAAGGAAAAACTATGAGAGAGCAAAGAAAGCAGGGACATTGTCCCAAAAGAAATGTACTCTTTCCCTGACCTATGGAAGCATAACCCCTCTGTTCATGACCTTTATAATAACAATAAATAAAAATTCATGCGACGGAATAAAACCTGTAACACTGCAACACGAATGTGTTCTCTAACTTAGACTGCTCATATTTGAAGTAATGATACCCAAAGCTCAACTCAACACTGAGATGCATGTTGGAATATGAGAATTTTGTGAGAAAGCTTTAGAAACTCCTTGAAAGTGTATTTTCCACGGACACTGGCACTAACAATGAATACGTCCAGACAGTACAGACAGACAGCAGTTCCTGGGGAGAGGGCGTAATTAGCTCTATTTTACTCAGCAAAATGACAGATGCTATTCAAAAGCAACCTGACTGGGATTTGAACCCAAGCAGGTAGCCTCTGAAATTTATCCTTCTTTCCACTAACTTCTGCTACAACCTCAAAGGCCAAAACAACAACAACAACAACTGTACCGATTTGGGGGAACCGTTTCAGCCATACAGTGTTCATGAAGAAACAATTAAGGTCTTTAATTTTTTTTTCACAGCTGGTTGGAAACAAACCAGATTTGAATCTAGAGACTATCCAGCCTTGCACGTGACTTGGACAGTGACCCAGCATTCACTGGCGTTGTATTCAGCGACTTCACCATTTGCAGGTAAAACTGATCTGCCCAGTTAGTTAACTTTGTGCCACCCTAGATCCTTCCAGAAGACAGCGCCCTGAGGCTCTGCTTCTTCCTCACCCTTCATTTACCAAGAACATTCAGACAACCAGCATGGGTACACACGCCAAGCAGGAGCAGTTCCCTTCTTGGCTGATGTGTGTTCGCCAAGGCACACAGCTTGAATGTTCAGAAGCCACTTGCTAGCAATTGCTAGGGGCTTAGTCTACTTCAGCATCAACAAAAGCCAAGCAAATACCCCCATCTCAATACAGAGCTGGTTCAATACAGGACCCATCTGCGATCCATGGAATTCCTATTAAGTTGCTATGGCTTTTTTGATCTGACTAGCAGCCATGGGAATTGGGGACCCAGATTACCTGGATCTTGTTAAAGCACAAAGCTTCCATCTGGCTGGGTTATGTTGGCCCAAGAGGTGGTCTGTCTCAATGCCAAGGGCAAGAGCTAAGGTAAGTGGAGTTTAAATGGGAGGGGAAAAATAGATGATGTCACCATCTCTATTTAGAGAGGAGATGGAAACACTACCCTCTGAAATGCAGGAGGTGAACAGGGTGTTGACCTTGGCAGTTATCGACTAATATGAAACCTGGAGTGTGAAGTAGGGGGAAGGGATTTTACAAAGTGACTTGCAAGGAAGGAAAAAGCAAAGAGGCAGAGTCACAATGTGACATCCAGACATTCCACTCTCACTGAGGTTGGAGCCAAGTCACTGCCCTGTTCAAAATAAGTCCTTAAAGCACACAACGTGATCAAAGAAATCCAGCCATGACTTAGAACCCAACATGACATTTGTTGGGGATACCCTGCTGGTTAACATGCTAGGTGTGCATCATATGCTACTCATGTGATCTCCACAATGATCATGGACCAGAGGCATCATTTCCCAGAGATTTTAGAAAACAATTTAACTAATAAGGTAACATGGAGCTAGGCGCCAATGGCTCTTACACCTAGCTACTCAGGAGGCTGAAAACCTGAGGATTGTGGTTCAAAACTAGCACAGGTAGGAAAAGTCCGTGAGATTCAGATCTCCAAGTAATCAGCAAAAAGCCCAAAGTGGAGATGTTGCTTAAAAGGTAGAGTGCTAGTCTTCAGCACAAAAGCTTAAGGACAATGCCCAGGTCCTGAGTTTAACCCCAGAGACTGACACAAAAAGGAAGGGGGAGAGGGGAGGAAAGAGGGGAAGAGGGAAAGAGGAGGGGAGAGGGATGGAAGGAGGAGGAGAGGAGGAGAGAAGGGGAGGGGGAGGGGAAGAAGGAAGGGGAGGGGAGGAGAGAGGATGATAGAAGGGGTGATATTGATCAAGCTGCATTGTACTCATACACTGAGGAGTTGAATTAAAACCCCTTTGTATAACTAAAGATAAGAGTAATGATAATAAAAAGAAGGTACTGTGGACATGAAATGGGGCTTGCTTCTTCTGAAACTTATGGTTTTTTTCTCCTCTGTGACCATCTTCCTGACTCATTCTCTCTATCCTGAGATTCTTGTTAGTCTGATGTAACCAGCCAAGTCACCTCTGAACCACCAGGACAAGTGACAGAGAATAACAGGCTTAGATTGCATGCTAGCAGGACTCTCACTGTCCCCTGAGTTCCTAGAGCTACACAGAAAAGATTCTTTTTGGCCCCTTCTTGGGAAATGCTTCAGTGTGTGTGTGTGTGTGTGTGTGTGTGTGTGTGTGTGTGTCTTTCCAGGCAACCAGCAGCCTGATTGGGTCCCACCTCTGACCGTTCCTTCCATCCTACAAAGATGGCAGTCCAGGTCTTCTGTCAGCTAATTCCAAGGCTTCTACCCCGGCCATGTTCCCATCCACATGAAATAACGATGTCCAAACTTTTACTCCTGCCTCAACAGCTGAGTAAGAAATTCATGGGGCTATTTTTGTCTTTCATTCCCCCTTTTGGATGTGCTTCCCTGAGACTATGTGGTTAACAGATCAGAGAAACACTCATTCATTCAACAGGAGATGTTCTAGGCGCTGGGGGTGGAACGATAATTAGCATCTTGCCTTTTGGTACCTTACGATTCTGCACACCTCTGACAATGAGCAGGGCCTGGTGACAGGCCGGAGTCTCTGGGCAGGGACACTTCTCATTCTCTCGGGTGTGAGCTCCCGAGTGAGCAAGCCAATCCCTGACAGTGTGGCTTGGTTCTATACTCCTTATTCCTACATTTTCTGGGCTATTTTCTACAAGTTTCTCTTTGGAAAACATTATTGTGTTGTCCTTGATCTATCCTCTTTGGGGAAACCAGATTCTATTTCAAAGGGGCCAGATGCCAAGAAAGGAATCCCAGGACAGCCTGTAGCCTGGGCTGGATGAACCTGTTAGCGTTGGCTGAGCAGCCGGTTGGAGGCATTGGCATCGTAGTGAAGTAGAGTCAGCAGTGAGAAACACTTTGCAAGCAAGAGTCTCAGGCAGCCCCACAACCTGCGATCCATGGAATTCCTGTTTCTCTGGGGTTAAAAACTCATTGCAAGTGGGAAGAGCTGTGGCTCTTTTACTCACTGACAATTCTTAGTCATTTTCAAAGTTACGATGCACCTGTTCCTCAGACACTGTGCCAGAGCAGCCGGAGGCGGCGGAACTTGACCCTCTGGTTAATTTTCACAATGTTAGAGTCACCTTTGCTCAGCACCCCCTTCCCATGTTTTCACTCTGTCTGGAAATTTCTGAATTCTTACACAAAGTGATCAGAAGGTAGCTCCTGCTTCTTAGGGTTTAACTAGACAGTTCCAGAAATGACAAGGACGCGACCATATGTTAATCTACTTTCCACTGGAACATCTATCAACTGTTATTTGCTCCTTGGAATCAAGACAGAAGTTCCTATGGAAAGAAACATTCAGCTAGCTCGAAATGATTAGTTATCCCCAGAGAACTGCTCAGATCCATGAGATTTTTACAGCCCAGGACATGAGCTCCAACAAGCAGTATGGAATTAAGCACGCTCCAGAAAATAAAATAGAAGGCTAGAATAAACATACCAGACAAACCACAAAAACCAAACTGGGCAAGTGTATTAGTGAAAGTTGAACAGGTACCTGACAACAGTGTCCCCAGGGTGGGAATTCCTTTCGATTGAATTACTTACCCATACAGGTGGAAGTCCCCTTCCCCTCGGCAGGACAGTTCCAATGCTGTTGGGCTGAGACAGTTACAAAACTACACGGAACCACTACAGGCAACAGAAGGCTAAGTGAAAGCAGCATAATCTTGCTAAGGTTTCGATCTTCAATAGAAAAGAAGTTGAGTGTGCTCAAGCGCACCCCAGGCGAAGTGACTATATCTCACTCCCAACTGGTCAGGCTTTGGCTCTGGGGACATCTTTTATTTTGCTGTTTTGCTTCCACCTTCTACTTCACCTTCTGGGAGCCTCCAAATGCAGCTTTGCAAACGCTCCAGGAGATTTCCTTATCTGAAGTTTTTCTTGGAAGCCATTTAGAAATACCTGACACCCTTGTGACAGATTTCACAGAGTTTAACAACCATACTCTGTAGGTCTGACTTTGCTGTGACAGGCACCGGCAGGCAAGCCAGAGAGAGAGAGAATGAGAAAGAGAGAGAAAGAGAATGAGAGAGAGAGAGACAGAGAGAGAGACAGAGAGAGAGAGGGGGGAAATAAAGGGAAGAATTGATTGAAAGTTCCAGCCACAACCCTGATACGGGGACTGAGGAAGAAATCTGCAGATCGGATGGCTCCTCAAACAGAGCTTCTCTTTTTGAAAAATAGAACTGACTCCTCTTTCCTTTTTAAAGCTCTCTAGACTCCTCCCCCTCTCCTTGAGTGACACTTGAATGAGTCTCTGTTGGCAAATGTGAATATGGCCAACTCTTCAGAACAGGAAAGCAGAGCCAGCTGCCAGAAAGGAGATAACTGCTACTCACCATAAATATTCACCCAGACCAGGGAGAGAGCAATTAAGGGGGCTGTGGAGAAGGTAATGGTATCTTGGAGGTAACCTGCTGAATATTGGCTGTGTTTTAATATCTTGAAGGATGGGAAACACAACTAAACCATGCAACTGATAAATCAGTGGCGAGCAACACTGCTGATAATTCCAATGTATAACAATTGATTACTCACATGAGCCATACAGAAGATAATTCCCCTTCAGCTCATAATTTAATGAAATGTCAACACCAGTGCTGCATTCCTGGAGCTTAATCTTTCTCTTTCCCTCCTGTGTATTTTATAGTGGAATTTGAATGATTATTCTTTCCAAATCAAAGGGAAATCCCTGAAGCCAGATGGAAGAGACGGCATGTGCACAGATAGCTTTTCTTTCAGCGTGAGTATAAATACATCAAGAGGGGCCAAGAGTGCAGGGAAAGGAGTGGGTTGTTATTATAGAAGCATGTTGGGGGAAAATAAGCTAATAGTGTGAAAGTTAGAAAGCCGGGGGAATCCAGCATGGCTAGATGAAATCGCTTCTCAGATAATTTAAGGCATCTCATCACATCTTAGTCCTAGAAAAGGAATGCTTCACCATCCATTATCTGTCTCTTCCACCACTCTCTACTTAAGACAGTCTCTGAAACCTCCAGTCCTGTCAGTCCATCTGTAGCAGAGACGATGACAGTGTAAACTACTATCAATTTAACTGCATCCTAGAAAACACCCTCACTTAAGTTGCTTTGAGGTAATGTTCATATATGCAAGTCAAAAATGCAGACAAACACAGACATAGAGGGACAAAGGATGGACAAATGAAGCAGTGTTGCTCGCCGGACACTATGTTGAAAATGAACTATGCAACTTGTGGGTGAGGGCAGAAGGGAAAAACTGGGAGAGAGAAAAAGAAAGAGGGCATTGTCCAAAAAGAAATGTGCTCATTACCTGACTTATATAACTGTAATTCCTCTATGTATTACTTTTCTAAAAACAATTTAAAGAAGAAAATGTAGACAAAGCAATAATTAGAAAAATAGCCATGAGCTGGTAGCTCACACCTGCTAGCTACTCAGGAGGGTGAAATCTGAAGAGAGAGATTCCAACACAGCACAGGCAGGCAGAAAAGTCCCTGAGACTTTTATCCAATTATCCAGAGAAAGGCTAGAGGTAGAGATGTGGCTCAAGTGGTGGAGCACCAGCCTTGAGCAGAAAAAGTCAAGAAAGAGCAAAGCCCCATGTTCAAGCCCAGTACCAGCACAAAAAGAAAGGAAAGAAGGGAAGGAGGGAAGAGTAGGAAGGAGGGAGGGAAGGGGGAAGGAAAGAAGGAAGGAAAGAAGGAAGGAAGGAAGGAAGGAAGGAAGGAAGGAAGGAAGGAAGGAAGGAAGGAAGGAAGGAAGGAAGGAAGGAAGGAAGGAAAGATGGAAAGAAGAAAAGAAGGAAGGAAAGAAGGAAGGGAGGAGGGAGGGAAGGAGAGTGGGAAAGAAAAAGAAAGACGAAGAGCAAAGAAAGTCATACTAGTGGACACTCCTTGTAAAGAAGTACAAACAACTCTTAAGTCCTTTGCTCATAATTAATGTGTCCTCAGGATTTCTCAAAGACAAATAGTTAAGTCATGATTTCTCCTTATTCAACCAGCTTCTGACCCTGTATAAGGAGAAACAGACCCTGGAGGGGCAACAGAAGTCACATGGATGGGTGTATGGAATATTCTATTGCATTCCAGACTCATGCAGACTCAAGATTCAGAATGAGAGTCCTACAAATAACCTGTACCAACTATTCAAATGACTAACCTGCTTTAATATGCTTCCCCTTCAGCAAATGGCATTGCCAATGTCATAGCGGACAACAGGGGAAGGGACTAAGCGCACAGTGCAGCATGGAGCTGTGTGTGTGGAGAGGAGCGGGGAGAAGGATGTAAACAGACAGGCAACAATCCACAATCACATCCTAATTAGATGTGGAATTGTTCGTGATATTTTGATTGTAGAAAGGTTTGCTTTCCTAATTACACTTCACCTTGGCTAATGTTATCATTAATTTTGAACCTTAGCATCTTTGTAGGAGATGAAGGAGTCCACAAGGGTATAGTAGATGCCTCAATCAATGCATCTAATTCACAGATCTATAGCTATCCAGATAGTGAAATCACAGAACTGTGCTATCCAACTAGAAAAGGCTTCTAGAGATAATTAGTAAGTCCAGAATTATTACTTCTAGATAAAACTAATTTTTTCATCCTGGGCAAACATCCTCTTTATTGTAAAGTTGACCAGAAATCCAAATGACAAGAATTGATTCAAAATGAGAACTGTTTCAAAATGAATTGCTCAATTTATCAAGCTCTATACGATAGGGTACTGTTTGGAATACAGGAAACAGAAGTGGAACCAGAGATGGTGGTGGTCCTAGAACTCAGGAGCTCAGCCAGGAGGCTCACAAGTTCCAAATACCCTGGGCTGCACAGCCAGATCCTGTGACAAATGCATCCCCAAAGTCACAGATGTGCTGATGGTCCTTAACTTCAACACCTTGCTAAAGGTAATTGTCAATAACAATAAAGAAGGGTATATGAACATGTTGCACAAGGCCAGTCACCGTGTATTCTGGGGGTGTCAGAAGAGAAAGGGAGTACAGTGAACTCTGAACTGGAATGTGTAATGCAGACAGCAGGAAATAAAACAGGAAAAGACTTGCTTAATTTATCCCCAGACATTTTGGGGGCACAGTCGGGATGGGAAAAGCCTGTTGACAGGTCAGTAAGAGAGTTGGATATCAGTGGCAAGGAGACAGCCAATGACTGCTCTTCAGTAAGAGCAGGCAGATAGCTGAAGGGAAGGGAGGCTGTTGGGAGTCATGGTTCCTCTCCTAACCTTTAAGATTAAACTCCCCATCAAAACATCATCAAATGCTGTATGCATAAACTTGTTCTACTACCTGAGAAATCAGGTCTATAATTAAGACCTTATGAAACAAAAATCTATGATTTTGTTTATAGAAAGAAATATACAGAGAGACAGACAGACAGACAGACAGACAGACAGACAGACAGACAGACAGACAGACAGACAGACAGACAGATAGATAGATAGATAGATAGATAGATAGATAGATAGATAGATAGATAGATAGATAGATAGATAGATAGATAGATAATGCCTTTCTCCCAAGTCAAGAGAGATGCCTGACTTGAAATCAGGATGCAATTGCTCTTGTAAAAGCAGCTTAGCAGCAAGATACTGAATATGAAAACTTGTTCTACTACTTGAAATTGGGCCCATGTTTAAGACTATTGTGAAGCAAATAAAATAAATGAAAGAAAACCTCATCTATGCTCAGCAGCTCTGGTTAATCATCACCAGCACCACACCATCGACATGCTTTCAAGATGCCAGACATACAGAAAACAGGTGCTTTTTTTCCACACCATCTCTAATCTTCAATACCACCTTGCCAAGGGTAAAAGTCCGCCACCCCCACCTCATCAAAAGGACAGAGAAGATCAGAGAGGCTGAATACAGGCTCACTGGCTGGGGGATAGGAGCTAATTTTTGGTCAAAGCCTAGAAAGCAACACTGGCTTTAATAACATTCAGATTCTGAACAGAACCTATAGGAACCACAAAACACTTGAAATCTGCCCAGAGCACTGGAGTTGCTATGCACTGCATGAACTTAAATACTATTTTCTGTACATTAGTAGAAATAATGATCATTGCTTACACAGCTTCACTAGGCCTTAAATTGAATGAGTCTTTTACCTCATCTTCTGCCTCCAAGGACTGAAATTAAATGAGTGAAAACAATCAAGGTATATCACTCAAAATTGGAAAGATATAAAATAGGTGGTGGAGAGAAAATATTTGGGTAAAAGTTCAAAAACCAGAGAACTGAAATGTTAGGTTGATTTTTCCAGTCAAGCTTCCCATGAAGATGCATTCCTTTTTATTAAAATAAATTTTACAGGAACTAAGGAGGTCTTAAAAGTACAATCAGATAAGTTTTGATTTTTAAAAAATTACACAAGCTCAGAGATGTGCAGAAATTAGATCTAAAATACACTGAGATATGATAAATTACACAAGATTCTAGATACTCACCCACAGTGAGACCAAAAAAGGCTACTCTTAGGAGAGAAACACAGATATATGGAAAAAACTCCAAGATACAGAAACAAGCGACCTCTTCTTTTCTTTCTTATTTTAAGTGTTTGATGATTCTGTCTTCTTTATCTTGTGTGTGGTGTATTCAAGTGCTCATCTTCGGAAGAGTTATGGGAGGGAAAAAGGGTGAAAAATAGCCGCAGTGGAACTTCCTGGACACTGATTAAAGCAACTCATGGGTGAAGACAGGAGGGAGGGACTAGGAGAGACGGAGGGAACAGAAGACACTGTACGAAAGAAAATGCACTCATTACCTGAGTTATGTAATTCGAATCCCTCTATACAGACCTCTATAATAACAAAAAAATGACACTTTAACCAACATCAGTCAAATTCAGAAAGTTTCTCTTTTTTTGGGGGGGGGGGATTTAAATATTTTGTTGAATCTATATATGGAAAATCTTTTAACCCAGCATGTGGTTTATCTGTTTTCTGAACAATGTCTTTTGATGAGTAAAATACCTTAATTTTGGTTTTGAGATCCATCTGAGTTATATATAATGGTTGTGGGGCCTGAACTCTGGGCCTGGGCGCTGTCCCTCAGCTCTTCAGCTCAAGGCTAGCGCTCTACCACTTGAGCCACAGCGCCACTTCCAGCTTTTTCTTTTTGCTTATGTGGTGCTGAGGAATCGAACTCAGGGCCTCAGGCATGCAAGGCAAGCTATCTACCCCTGAGCCGCCTTCCCAGCCCAGACAGTTTCTCTTATCATCAGAAATGTCCCTATGAATCCTTTCCCTAGGCAACAATTGTTCCTAATTTTCTCATAGATAAGTTTTGTATGTTTTTAAGCTTTATATAAATGCAGTCATATAGTACAATCAATTTTATGTCTGTCTTCTTTTGTCCAGGATAATGGTTTTGAGATCCATCTGAGATCCATCATCTTTTTTTTTTGTATGAACCATAACACAATCTATTTGTCCATTTTCTTGTTGATGGATCTTTGGATTGTTTCCAGGTTTGGTCCCATTTCTGTTCAGTTAATAGGTAATTGCTGGTTCATAGGGTAGTTCTATGTTTAACTTTCTAAGAAATTGCCAAACATTTTTCCAAGGTGACTGCTCTGTTTTGTACATTTCTCTCCCCAGTAGTGAACAAAGTTGTCTCACATGCTTCCCCAATTTTCATGTTCTCAAGCTTTCTAACTTTAACTCATTCATGTGAGTAACAATATTATGCTGCAGAGATTTTTGTTTTGGGGCTTTTTGAGGTTTTTTGCTGGTCCTGAGGCTTGAACTCTGGGCCCGGACCCTGTGTCTGAGCTTCTTTTTCCCCAAGGTTAGAACTCTACCACTTGAGCCAAGCTCAAAGCCATTGCGGCTTTTTTTGAGTAGTTTATTGGAGATAAGCGTCTCCAAAGTCAAGCACTGGTGGCTCACGCCTGTAATCATAGCTACTCAGGAGGCTGAGATAAGAGGATCATGGTTCAAAGTCAGCCCAAGTAGAGAAGTCCATGAGACTCTTATCTCCAATAAACTACTCAGAAAACCAGAAGTGGGGCTGTGGTTCAAGTGGTAGAGTTCTCACCTTGAGCTGAAGAGCTGAGTGACTGCGCCCAAACCCAGAGTTCAAGCCCCACTACCAACCAAAAAAAAAAAAAAAAGAGTCTACAAGACCTTCCTGCCTGGGCTGGCTTTAAACCACAATCCTCAGATCTCAGTCTCGTGAGTAGCCAGGATTACAGGCATGAGCCACCACACCCCAGCTGTTGCAGTTTTAATATGCTTTTCTCTCAGGAGATAGTGGTGACTACCTTTTCTCATGCTAATTGGTTATTCACAGTTCCTTTTCCTGAGAAATATATTTAAATATGAAAACTTGTTATAAGTTTGACAGTTTGGTATTGTATTATCTGTTGAAGTTCTTTATGTATATATTGGATTTAAATATTTTGTTGAATCTATATATGGAAAATCTTTTAACCCAGCATGTGGTTTATCTGTTTTCTGAACAATGTCTTTTGATGAGTAAAATACCTTAATTTTGGTTTTGAGATCCATCTGAGTTATATATAATGGTACTTCTTTTATTTATCTATTTATTTTGCTTCTAGGAAATATTCTTTTGTATGAATATAACACAATCTGTTTATCCATTTCTTTGTTGATGGATCTTTGGATTATTTCCAGGGTTGGCAGTAAAAATGTGTTCATTTCAATTCAGTTGGTAGGTACTTGCTGGTTCATAGGGTAGGTATATGTTTAACTTGCCAAATAATTTTTCAAGATATCTTCTCCATTTTGTACATTTATAACTTTATAAATTTAAAATATTTTCCTTTTATGGTTAGCTTTATGTATGTATATATTCTCACTCATAAATCATTGCCTATATCAAGCTTTCAAATATGCTTTCCTATTTTTCCCTTAAGAACTTTTAGAATTTAAGTATTTATGGTTAATCTTAATATTTGTATATTATATAACATTAGAATTCAAGGTTAGTTTTCTTTATATTCATATACAATTTTTCCAGTATCAATTATGAAGAGAATTTTCTTTTTTCTTGAGTTTTGTTGACAGTGTCATTTAAAAATGAGTATTGAATTATCTGTTATTTCTAGAGTTATTATTTTATTGGTTGCTTTACCCTATACTAATCACTTGTCTTGATTACTTCTGCTTTGCAAGAACGCTATTCTTACTTTCTGATAGGCTGCATCCTCCAAGTTGTCTTTTTTTGTTTGATTGTTTTATTTTGTTTGGTTTTAAGATTATCTTAGGCTACTATGGATTAACTGTACTTCCATATGAATTTATAATTAGCATGGTAACTTCTACCAAAAAATTGTTTTGACTCCAATGTCATTGACTCTATGCAATGTTAGAAATGACATCTTAACAATACTGGATCTCCTAATCTATGAACAAAATATATTTCTCCACTAATTTAGATCTTTTAGTTTCTCCTATCAATGTCTTTGACTGTTAAATGTAAAGCTTTGCATATTTTCTGTTAAATTTATTTATGTTTTAAATGCTCCATATAATAAAATTCTATTTCTTTTTCCAGTTCTCTGCTGATCTCTTATAGAAATAAGATTAATTTTACTCGTTGGACCTTTTATCTTTTTACCTTGCTAACTATTTTATTGTGTTTAGAGTTTGGGGATCTAAAGTCTAATATTTCTCTGACATATAAGAGGTAAAATGTTAATATATATATATATATATATATATAATAGGATGAGAAATCGTATCAAATATCAATCTCGTAGGGGGAAAACAATGGAGGGGGTAACAATGTTCAAGAGGAAGTGTACTCATTACCTCACTCATGTAACTGTAACCCTCTGTATAGTAGCTTTACAATAAAATAAAATTAAAAAAAAAAATATCAATCTCACATAACAGCTCTTTTTACATCATTCCAGACTCATTACCAGAAGACTGAGGAAGGAAATCTCTTATCTAGTCTCTATGAACATGTTATGGAAGGTAAATCCTAGGGTTAGCAAAGTTAAATATCGGTCCCAAAGGCTCCTAGCTATTAAGTAAAGAGTTGATTTGTAAAAGCCCAACCCTGCCTGTCTTTCGAGCATGTGTTTAACCTCCATTCCCAAGGGCACCTTTCATCTCACTCATAATGCAGAGATGAGTAACCAGCCCCCATGCCTGCTTAGGGCCAAGACAGCAGCTGGAAAAGCTGAGGCTTCGCATGCATTCTTCTGTCTTTTACCAACTTCGTTGGCATCTTCCCTATATGTCACTATGGCTACTGATTTAACTTTATGTCATTGAAAGAGTTCGTTCTCACGTAGGTCACCTGAGGTTTCAGTTTCCTTGGATCCATCCAAGTATTCATCTGAGCCTTTGCATGAAATGTATCTTGGTCACACTAAGCCGAGAATAACAAAATAATACAACTCTGGCATTATGTCGATGCAACTTCTATGTGCAGTATATTTTAAACTACCCATCAGATTCTGGTTTCTTTATTAAAGGAAAGTTTCATCGTTTTCAAGGGGTTAAACCCAGCCATAATCTTCATTTTATTTTTAATCTACTCAAATACAGGATATGATGAAATGTAGAAGTTGCAACCTCAACTCTACCATATACAGAGAAAAGAAGCTTTGGAATGATCATACCTGAGGCTCAGGCTACAGTTTATCTGCAATGTAACTTCTCAATGGGAGCATCTAATTCACAATCAAAATAAGCAGAACAGAAGTATGTGTGTGATTACTTGGCCCATTCACAACTGGAGAGACGTTGGCACAATTCCTATACTATATTCTAACTGTGTATTAAGGAATATGTGGTTTGCTTCCCACCAGCTGCTAAGTGCTTAGTTTTATATAACATGTATGTTGGTCTTCTATCAAAATAAATCTGACCTTTAAAAGCCAACTTTCATTTCATATAACCCTTCCAGGAAGCAATTTGGCAGCATTCTCCAGAGGCACAAATATATTTATAGGCGTTGACCATTTAATCTTACTCTTGGCAATTTCTCCCTAAAGGAATACTGTCTTTACTGGAAAAAAAGAAGTTATAAGGATACCAATATGTACTGTGGTATTATTCATTGTAGCAAAATAACCAGAGTTTTCATTCATTTTCATTTTAAGTAACAAAAGTTATTTAAAAATATTCTAAGAGGGCTGGGAAGGTGGCTCAGTGGTAGAGTGCTTGCCTTGCATGTATGAGGCCCTGGGTTCGATTCCTCAGTACCACATAAGCAAAAAGAAAAAAGCCGGAAGTGGCACTGTGGCTCAAGTGGTAGAGCACTAGCCTTGAGCTGAAGAGCTGAGGGACAGCACCCAGGCCCAGAGTTCAGTCCCTACGAGCGACAAAAAAAAAAAAAATCTAAGAATACAAGTCATTAAAAAAGAAAAATGCTTGCCACTATATTAATAGGAAAAATACAAAATTCATATATTCATAGTAGGCTTATATCCTTATTTTTCACGATGAATAAAAAAATACAGAAAAAATGGAAACAGTTCATGTGACGAGGTGGTCAAATTATAGGGGTTTTTCTTTCCCCCTTTGATTTAAGTTTTTTCTGTCATGGAAAGCTGTGCATTCCAATAAGGATTACTAAGCCATCCCCTGATGCTGGTCACCGGTGGCCCACGCGGCTTAGTGTTGACCTCAATCCCCTGTCCTCAGCTTGGCTGTCCATGGTTGTACCTTCTTTCCCTCCATTATCAGACCAGAAGTTCACCATTGCATTAGACCAATCCCTTACAGATCATAGTCACTCTCCATAATTATTTCTTTGTAACTAGCAAGAAAAAAATAACATAATGTGAATATGTACACTCATATCTAAATATCTGGGTGTGATTGTACTAGGGTAGAGCTATGGAAAATGTCAGAAAGAACCCTAACCACGTAGGTGAACCACTGTGAGCTCAAAAGCTGCCCACCCAGCTAGGCTGAATGAATGTCCCAGATACCTTGACTGGTATTGTCACTTTCTAAAATGGTGAATAACCCTTTGGACAAAACAAAGCAACTTTCATGGTATCTTCTTAAGAATCATTGTTAGAAGTACAGACTCTCAGCCAGGCGCCAATGGCTCACACCTGTAATACTAGCTACTCAGGAGGCTGAGATCTGAGAATTGCGGTTCAAAGCAGCCTGGGCAGGAAAGTCTGTGAGACTCTTATCTCCAACAAACCACTAAGAATACCCAAAGTGATGCTGTGGAGTAAGTGGTAAAGTGCTAGCTTTGAGTTGAAGAGCTGAGGGACAGCACCCAGGCCCAGAGTTCAAGCCTCACAACCAACAAAAGAAAAAGAAAAGAAAAGAAGAAGTACAGACTCTCAGGCTCTACCCAAGATTTACCATATAAGAATCCACACTACATAAAGATTCCAAGGGATTCACATGCCTGTTAAATTTTGAGGAATGTTGGTAGGTCAGATAACTACAGGCAAGTGCTGCTTCTTCTAAATGTCCAGAAGAACTTCCCAAAGAGCTTTAAGATTTGGGGAAATCTTTGGCATACAGACTTTATAATCCATTAAAGCAATATCCTTTTCTCCCTCCCAATGGCTTAGTCACTTCTATATTGCTATAACTCATTACAGTCGACTGGATAATTTATAAAGACAATAAGTGTATTTCTTGTAGTTCAAGTCCAAGAGCCCTAGCATCTTCTATGAAGACTTCCCGGCTGTGCCATATCATGACCAAACAAGCATGCTAGCTGGATATCTAGTTCCATGATGGCACTAATGCCATCTTAGGGGTTCCCTCCCCTCGGGATCACTAATCACAATTACCACTGCAAGGCCCTACCTCTTCAGACTGCTAACATAGCAACTTATGGATTGAGTTGCCAATACAATGACATTTCATAACACACTTAAACCATACAAACCCCTATAACTTCTCCAATCGTTTCTCTTTTCTTCCCTTTGCTTTCTTTCCTTCTTTCTTTTTTCCTTTCTTTCCTCCTTCCTTCTTTTCCTCCCTTCTATCCTTCTTTCTTTTTTCTTTCTTCCTTCCTTCCTTTTTCCTTCTTTCCTTTCTTCCTCCCTTCTTTCCTTCCTCTCTCTCTCTCTTTCTTTCTTTCTTTCTTCCTTTCTTTCTTTCTTTCTTCCTTTCTTCCTTTCTTGTGCCAGTATGGGCTTACCCTCAGGGCCTGGGCACTGTGCTTAGTTTTTTCACTCAAAGCTAATGTCCTACCAGCTGAGCCCTATCTGCACTTCAGATTTTTTGGTGATTAACTGGACACAAAAGAGTCTTTCTCAGATCTATCTGCCCAGGCTGCTCTGAATCAAAATCCTCAAGTCTCAGCCTCCTGAATAGCTAGGATTACAGGCATGAGCCACCAGAACCCAGCCAAAATATATTCTTTTAAACAATCTTGAAGGGTCTGGCTTTAAACTTCATATCTGTGTATTGTCCATTGTTGGCAAGTTCATTTTTATCTACCACACCACAGATTTTCAAAATAGAGAGAAAAAACACAAAACCTCAACAGGACCATTTTTTCTCGAACTTTCTCCAAAATTATTCAAGAAAGTAGACGTTTTCTTAACATACTGAATAAAATTAGATACGTTTGGGGGGATAGTCTTGCTTAATCAGTGCCATTTTGTATGATAAAGTTATATTTCTCCCTTACTTGGCTATTTCCCCTTCTATTTTATTTTTTTCAAGAGTTTGTTTGGATTTGTCCCAACACCTCGTCTCTAGAAAAGTCTATCTTTTTCACTGTAAACAGTTTGTTGTTTTTGTTGTTGTGCCTACCCTAGAGCTTTAGTTCTGGGGCTGGGTGATATCCCTGAGTTTTTGTGCTAGGGCACTAGCCAGTGCCCTACTACTTGAACCACAGCTCCACTCCGGCTTTTTTGGTGGTTCATTGGAGATGAGAGTCTTACAGACTTTCCTGCCTGGATTAGCTTTGAACCACTATCCTCAGATCTTAGGCTCCTGAGTTGGTAGGATTATAAGTGTGAGCCACCAACACCCAGCTTATTAACAGTTTTTCTTTTTGTTTAATGTGGCTCTTTTCTTCCCATAAGTGTCCAGGTAATATGATGATGTGATTATGGCAAGAGTCCATACAGAATGTAGAAGGCATTGGGTGCGTGGTAAAATTACCCACATAGGACCCAATGATGAGTCATTGCTGTTCCCTGAGAATGGAAATGCCCTGAGTTCAATTAGCAGTAGAAAGCATGCTCTCCAGAAGATGGAACCCATCTGGATTATATTGGTATTGTGGTTAAAAGACAAAGATAAGGATTTGAGCTGTAAATTGAAGATTTTATAGAGAAAAAAAAGTTTGAGTAGCATGTTTTAATTGTACTTATTAATGGAGTTCAGAGTGACGTTTCAACATCTGCATTATTGGACAGTCTGATCAAATCCAGCCTTGTCTTATCCACCTTCACTCCCAACACCTTCCTAATTTGGTATTTTATTCTATTTTATATTCAGGACAACTTTTTAATTTTTGACTTTCCAGATATGAAAGAAAAGATATGGTATTTGCCTGGTTTATTTCACTTAACATAAAGTCCTCCAGTCCCACTCAGTTTGCTGCAAATAATGTTTTATTCTTTGTCACTGGATAATGTTCTATCTAGTATATATGAAAAAACATACATACTAAGAGGATTTACTTACGGGGGGGATTATTAAAAGCATGTGATTAAAATTTAGTATTAAAAAATTGTCACTGGTAATTTGCCTATAAGAATGACAGGATTTTCTGGGTTAGAACGAGGTATCACATAGTCTTGGCATCTACCCTAAGGGACTGGTGTGGTCTGATTTGTTCTTACGGCACTAAAGGAATCAGGTTTTAATTTCTGAGTCAGAGAACTTCACTCTAAAGAAAACAGCACCGATGTTCATTAACTCACGGTCACATAACCAAGAAAGAGTGTGCTACAAATAGATCCTGGATCTTATAAAAGTTCTCCTTTTCCTTTCTGGAATCCTTAAAATATATGGGTGCTAGATGAGTTATTTTAGTTCAATTATCTCAGAGTAAGTTTCTCCAAAATGCTCTAGCTAGATTCCTCCCCTTCCCTCCCCAGGAGTCCTAGGGCTTAAACTCAGGGCTTGGGCACTCTACCACTTGAGCCACAGTGCTACTTCCAGTTTTTTCTGTACATGTGATACTGAGGAATCAAACCCAGGGCTTCATGCATGCTAGGCAAGCACTCTACCACTGAGCCACCTTCCCAGCCTCCAGGTAGATTCCTGTCACATGAATACCCTTACACACCCACAGGGCCCAGAAAAGATTTGTCAAGGGACCCTAGAATGATTATCAGAGTATCGTAAAAAGAAGCAGAGACAAATATCTTTCAGAAGATAGGTGTGTGTGTGTGTGTGTGTGTGTGTGAAAAATGGATCCATCAGCAAATAGTTTCCAAATGCCATATGAACAAAACCCTCCATGAGGATGATTGGTTACATAACGTGCCTTTCTCTCATTAAGGTCATCTTCAAATACAGTATTGATGCAAGGTAAAACTCTACCGATCATTTGGAAATTAATGAGGCATCCCCAGGGAGCCTATCTCTTCTACCCTAGAAGGAAATGAGGCCACTTGGAAAAGGAAATGAGCAGCCCTGTGACCCCACACAACCTCCCAGATGCCCAGGGAAGCATAGCCAATACACGAATCTGAACCTCAGATGCCATGCTGAGAGAGAGACTCTAATGTGGCATCAGAATCGCCCAGTCAGAGCCACGCCCTGATTCTCATCACAGCTGTCCAAGCTGTTCTTGGATGGGATGAACAAAGAAGAGGCCAAAGGAGCAGGGCCTCAGCTGAGGTCATAGGAGTGGATTTGGTGGCTGGACTCTCACTGCTGAACCAAATTGAACTTGGCTAGAATGAATGCAGGTTCAACTAGAACTTCATTTGATG